ACAGACAGACAGACAGACAGACAGACAGACAGACAGACAGACAGACATACATACATACATACATACATACATGATATATGTTTACTTTATGTGTGTATATATATGTGTCTGTCGGCTGGAGGAAACGATGCGCAGAGGAATTGTGCAGCACAGGTCACACTCCTTTCCCTGACGCTCTATGCGGCCTTTGGTGGCAAAGCCGCTGAGCTGACTGGCGCGGTGGAATCAAACACTACAAACCCAAAACCATGCAAGATGGACACTGCTGAAAAGCTCTTCGGTTTGTTTGTTTATGTTGTGTTCTGTTCTGTTCAACCATTTTTTTAATATGGCCATGTCTCCTGCCGGCCTTGCTGATGACCCGTTGATTTCAAGTATATAAAAACATCTAATGTTTGCGGTCAGTGTCCTATTGATCTTTTGAGGCCATTTCGACCGATTTTGCCACACATCCCGGTCCAACCAACAGCAACAGTCAAACCGCTGGTACGCCAAGGATCTCACGGACATCACGGACATGAGCATCTATCTCTTCACGGGCCTCATGGTGTGACCCACCGCTTTGGGAGTCGTGCTGCGTTGGTGGAGAACGGTCGTACGGTGTCGGGCCATCTCGGGCGGCCCATGACGATGTTGGGTGAGCCTGACTGGCTCGGTCGGTTTGGCAACGCCTGGCCCGGCAGAACGGGGCGGAGTTGGTGAAGAAGTCCTCAAGAAGGCAAAACTGCGACACAAAGAACTCCAAATGGTCAATTTTCAGTCATGTTCAATTTTGTTTGGGTGGGCTATCAACATAGGGGTGGATAAAGGACACAAATGGGGTTTATGAGACGTTTCGGCCAAGCACAATGACCCGGTCGGCTTGGTATCACAGAGCAGGCATGTGTCAACATTTAAAAACATGTGTATATATATATAGATATACTTAATCTACTGCAGGTTTCATCAATGATTACCCACTTGACATTGACACGGAGGGTTTCCTAGTCACCAAGATCCGCCACATCATGCCACATCCAGCCAATGCCTAGTACACTTTGTCAAAACTCACGATTCTTGTACATCATGGGTTCAATCCGTTTTGTCAAACATGGATATACTCGTAGCAGATTGACATACTGATCGATTTCAATGCCCTTTGCCTCTGGATCATCCACTGCCAACTGCAGAGGATTGATTCCTTTGCCCCCCTTGGCATTCTGCTCGCGTAGTCAATGACAGGTCTTGTGCTTTTCGATGTTCTTCCTCTCCATAATGCAACTGCAGACTGGCAGCATGGTCGGATCTGACAAGTTGTGACCTAAGATGCGGACAACAAAACCCCAGGATACACTACACAAGACACCTTCCTGAAACTACATACAGACAGATAGGATACCTGAGGCCTGAGGTAGGGCAGATTCCAAGGTGTTTTCCTTGAATGTGGTATTGCAAAGCAATAAATGTGTTTGGCTTCACCCCGGGTTTTGTTTCATTGGTAGTTGTGGAGATACATATTATAGAGTTTCAAAGTTTCTGTGAATAATATGTGTGAATGATGCAAGACCATCGAGGGGAAGTTTGAAGAATGGTTGAATTTCTTTACTGCAACAAACAGGATCCTCATCCCTTGTCGGAAGTACTACTGATTGACAAACATTGGGTGCCTCCCCAGAGCGCGGTTTCGCATAGGAAAACGAGGTCGACCGAAAACTGGAACTTCCAACACGTCTCAATCTGAGGATCGGCTTCGACCTTCCCTGGGTCCAGAAAGTGATCGCGGTTTGTGGAACTGTGCTTTTTTCGTTCTACATCGTTTTCGATACCCAGATGATTATGGGAGGCTATGGCGGGCACAAGATGGAGTTTTCGCTTGATGATTACGTCTTTGCGGCCTTGAATCTTTACCTGGACATCATCAACCTCTTCATGTACATATTGCAGATTGTGGGAAGCCGAGACTAGTGCGGCCCCTGTGCCTGGGAGTCTCGGATTGCTTTGATCGAGTGTAGCAGTGGTCAGAGAACGATTTCGTGGTGGCCCGGTCATGTAGAAAGGTAGTCCCACAGCGCAGTGCTTGCATGAGCTGATGAGTCAGAGGTTGTTTAGCATGGGAGTAACAAGTAGTTATTTCCAGACCGGGTGTGACAACTGTGACTGATTGAAGAATTCTTTCTGGGGACCATGGGCTGCCACAGTTTGTCTTGCCAGGAGGCACAGTTCCGCAATGTCCATTACCTGCCAATATATTGATTAACAAAGATATGAAACATTGTTGTGATTTGCTCTCCATGTAACCGAAGAAGATCCAAATTTACCCTAGCTTCTTCAAGAGCCAAATTTACCTTCGCTTCTTCTTTTAGTCTTCCAACCTTTGTTCTTCACCTTAGGCTTTCTCGTTTGTCCTTTATGTGCTTGCTCGGAGGTTTGCTTCCCACTTGCAACAGATTGTAACAGATAGTCGAACATGACCACAAATTAAGGATTACTGTATGCTGGGGTGTAATCAGTGTAATCAGTAACATGCAGATAGGCAGCCAGGGCTTCGGATTCTGATTCCTCTCCTCAGGTCAGGTTGAAAAGGTGGTGTCGCAGTGGTGCCCTTGGGTCGGTCATGGCCGGTGAAACCCGAAGCCGTCCTCAATTGAGAATCCAGAGTCACCCAGAGCCTTGTTAGTTTGACTTTTGGCGTGCCCAAGTAGTTTCAAGTTGGCAGTGCTCTTGTTGCATCCAGAGTTCTGAAGCCAACAAAATAATGAATCCTTTTAGCATCTTTTAGCAAGTGCTCTTGTTGTGTAAGCTCAAGCAGTTGTTGCCTGGACCAGAATTCTAAATTTCTAAATACTGAGTAAAATCCATGTCAAGTTTTGCTCAGCACGGTCATAACGGCCGGGACTAAGTCAAGACTATAACCAATACAATGAAACCAAAGAACATGACTGCAGCAAGCAAAGGAGTCATTGATGAGTCATAAGCAGCTAGTTGCTTTTATGGGTGTCACATGTTTAGCTTTCTCGTAGCTTTCTTTGCAGTTCGTCAGCCTTTTGTTGACTTTTGTAGGACACTGATGCCACATTCTTGTTTCGTTTGGTTTGTTCCGTCTTCCGGCCAATCGGTATTGAAGATATCTCATTCTTCTCCACTTGCAGTATCAGTATCAGAAGTCAGGCCAGAACCGTTCCAGCTGAGCGGTTTCGTCCAAGAGTTCCCTTCCTCGAATTCTGTGTCCAAGGAACTATAGATGAACAACATTCCATTTGATAGAAACTGGCACAACTGGAGTGCCACCATTTTGGTCCTTTCCAGGCAAGGCAACCATGTCCACCAGCGTAGGTATGTGTTCGCTTCTTGTACTGTAGCGCACGTGGAGCACTGCGATGAATCTTGTGTGTGTGACCTGACTGGGCGGACAGGAAGCGCCTGAGAAACAAAACATCGCCTCTGTGTCGGACGACCTGCACCAATCGCCAATGCCAGGAGCTACTAGTAGCAGGGGCATCGCTAGTAGCAACAAGTGCATCGCTACTAGTAGCAAGTGCATTACTACCAGTAGCAAGAAGCTAGTAGTATTTTCTTGTTACTAGTAGCGATGCCCTTGTTACTAGTAGCGATGTACCTTGCCAGTCAATGATGTCGCAAATGATTTCCTCAAGTCCCAATTTGCAGTTCTAGAAAGCATCCATTGCTTCCCTCCCGATTTACTGGTAATTGCATCCAGTCGGTGTGAAATAGAGTTTTCCCCTGAACCAGTACCAGCCATCGTGCCATGGGTTAGGGCGGATCGACTTGTTCATGGGGCTGTGCTGGCTATGCCCCGACCCAGAAATTATCCCGAAACAACTTCACTAATGCTTTTGCTTAAAACCCTATCCTTTATCAACCTTCACTACAATAAACTGTGACTGGGTGGGGGGACAAACAAACTGGCTCATCCATGATGGCCCACGTGAGCATCCAAAAACCCAGCGACTCTGGTTTGGCCAGGTTTCACCAGGATCATGTTGGCTTTGCAGAACCAGGTTGGTGTTGACCTCGAGCAGAAAGTTCCAATGGCCGATAGCAGCCACTGGATCCAAAGAAAATGCCAGTATCTTGCAAGCTGAAACATAATGATAGAAAACTCTCAAGAGGTGTCATGGAATGGAATGGGTCATGAGCCGTTTGAAAGTTGCCTGGTCATTACATCATGTCATGTCTCAAGTACTCGAAATCACAGAGTGCACGATCTTGTTAAGAGGCATGGGTGTCTTTCAGGGCTAGGCCCTAGGCAGTCTGCCAAATTTGTCAAGCACTGGAAGCTCACTCTTGGTGCAAATGACAAACTTCCAAAACCTCACGAGTTCCTAACCCACCCACATTGTCGTTTCCTCAGTAAGCTCTTCGTGGGACCCAAGCTACTGACTTCCAATCACTTCCCATCCTTAGCATGTGGAATTTGGACTCGGTGCCATGCATGGACATGGTGCCATGGCAGAAATGTGAACATGGGTGAAGAAATGGTGAAGAAGGGCCTTAATATGGCGTTAATATGTTCTGCGTCTCCTTGAATATGTCGAACATTTCGACTATCCGTTGCCCACCATGCTGAAACATGCAATGTTAAATTCCGATATGTTCTAGCGAGCGAAATGCGGGACACTGTCACAAGGTTTGGACATGGATTGAAATGTCGGCAAGTGGAACTCAACAAATTGCTGTTGTTGTTGCGCAGCTCAATCAGAAATGGCCGAGCAGCAGAAACTTTCCAAACTTGTCGTTCTATATAGGTTTCCGCGAAAGTACACCCCGGTTCATGTTGTGGATCATTCACAACATTGTCCCCATTTGTGTTTTCTCCCGAATGCATGGCGAAGGATTCTTGTTTCACTCCGGGGTCTGGGGGTAGAGCATTGTTCGAGTGATGTTGCTTTCATGTTCGCAACCGTTCGCAAGCGTCTGAATATGATCGAGAAGGCCCTCCCATTGAAAAAAGATGAAAAAGGCTTTTGGAGGAAGTCTTGGACGGAATCATGGAATGGAGTGGCAGATTCGTGTGAAATTGCGTCGAAACCTCTAACATGCCCAAGTGTGATGGATGATTTGTTTGCGCGGGTGCAGCGTTTCGTGAGGTCAACGCTTTTCGTCGCTGTGCCATTGGGATTGGCGTTTGCAGGGTGGTCTGGACGTGATGAATGTCGCTGTGCCATCAGGATTTGCTCTTGAAGCGTTTGCCTCAAAGCTGTAATTTCGTGACATGTTTGATTTCAAGTTACGATTTTGAGGGATCAGGGTGAAGCAAGATTGTGTTGAAATCGTTCCAAGCGTGCTGTGCAAGTTGCTAGACAAGTCAGGATGTGGCATAGTCACTTTTCGTGGCGGGTAGTTTTATGCGTGTTGGACGTGCTGGGATGCAGCTTGGCATTGGGAGTGATGTGCCCGCAGCTAGCTTGGCTTGCAAAGCTGCTTGGGAGGGCTGCGTGATGTGTTTGTCGCGTTGCTGAGCCTTCGGAGGAATTTGGTGCGAAGTGCTTGTTTTTAAATGTTTTTGAGTCAGTTTTGGAGGAAGTATGAGGAAGTCAATAGCGAAACACCTGCGTTGAAGGCTTTAGCGGCTTTACCTGTCACTCTTGGAGGAAGTCTCGAACGAAGTGATTCTTTTGACAGCTTGATGATCACTGTGAAAGCATGACGCGTGACCCTTCGAGGAAATCTCGTTTGAGGTGTCGCGCAAAGAGTGTCCAGCAAGAGTGTCTTACAAGAGTGCCCTACAAGAGTGTCCTACACACACTTCCTACAAAAGTGCCCTACAAGAGTGTCAGAGACACACAAGAGCATACAAGAGAGCCCCACAACAGTGTCCTAGAAGAGTGTCAAACAAGAGTGTCCCACAAAAATGTCCTGCAATAGTGTCCCGCAAGAGTATCCCACAATAATGCCCCACAAGAGTGCCATACAAGACTTTCCCACAAGAGTGCCCTACAAGGGCGTCGCACCAAAAAGTGTCCAGCAAAAGTGTTCTACAAGTGCGTCGCGCAAAAGAGTGTCCAGGAAGAGGTTCCCGCAAGAGTGTCCCACATTGTGTGGGGCACACAAGGGTGTCCAGCAAGATTTTCGCACACGAGCGAGTGTCCCACACGAATGTTTGTTGCAAGTCCTTTTTGAATCTGTTTGATCCTTTTTGAAGAGTGTCGCGTAAGAGTAAGAGTGTCAAAAAGTGTCACAAGCGTGTCCTACAAAAGTGTCCTAGAAGAGTGTCACATGAAAATGTCCTTCAAGAGTGTCTTTGACTGTCGAGCAAGAGTGCCAAACAACGTTTGGCCTGTTTGCGTACGCATGTCCATTCATCTTCGTGGGTTCCATCGTGTTTTCAGCATGAGGCAAGGGGCTTCCAGCACGAGGCAAGGGGATTCTTGCACGAGGCAAGGGCCAACAAGCTAGCCTGGTGAAAGCACCGCCAGATGAGGAGACAGAGGAGTTGCTGAGGCGGGGGCGGTTTCAAGGGATTGAGATGATTCGTTTCTGGGATATGTCTAAATAGTACTGTCTTTTATATATAATGTACTCGTAACTAGTAATGTAACTACATGTGGCACGCGTTGTGAAATGAGGTTTCTGGATGGCAAAGGTGGTTTTGAGATTGACTTGGGCGGTGTTGGCCGTCAAATTGATGGTTTCACCAGGAAAGGTCGAAGTTGTTTGGAGCGTGTACTGGTTCAAAACTGCCTTCAGAATTGGTCCTGAGTCCTTGGAGATAAGTTTCCCTACATGTTTTTTTTCACAACCCCCTGCGGTTTACATGTTCATGCATGAGGTGCAGCTGACAGTAGTTATTTTTCATTGGAGGCTGGTGAAGTTTGTCTGGGGTGTTGGACCAGTGAACGATGAAGGGAGTATTTTTGGGTAAAGGGATTCGAGCGCTTGCCACCTTCAGGGACCTTCCAGGGACCGGTGGATGGATCTGGTCCAAGCCGAACCTGATTGACGATGATACCAAGGCCCGGGTGACCTGGAACTCTTTTTCTTCTTCTTGAGTCCATGGCAGGCTTTTGGATCAGAAGGTCCCTTTCCTCCGTCCCAGTCAATCTTGGTCCCACGCAATACTGTCAGTGAAAACTCCAGCGTCTAGCACAGATCCTGCAGTGACAAGCTGAATGTGAGTACAGCGCTTTTGAGAGTCTCGAACTTATGGTGAACCGTGAGGATGTGCAAGTGGTTGTCGATCTAAAGGTCCTAGACAGCATTGTGTATGCGATGACCCGGAACATATCAAAATCTCATTTGGCGAAAGTGTTTTCTCGAGTCGGCGAAAGTAATTGTATTTTTTGGCGAAAGATCTTGCGAAAGATTAAATATGTACTTTTGTATGAATGTTCATTTGCTTCCTGAACAGCTGGTGGCAGTGACTCAGAAGTTAGATGAGCTGTGGAAGTTAGATAACCTGCTGCTGCTGCGGCTGCTACTACTACTACCACCACTACCACTACCACTACCACTACTACTACTACGACTACGACTACGACTACTACTACTACTATTCCTGCTCCTGCTTTGGGGGGGTGGCTTTGCCACAAAACTCTACCCCGCAAAAGGCGAAAGATTGGCGAAAGTTCAGCTCAAGATTGGCGAAAGTTCACCCTGCCACAT